TTTTAGAGATGGCACCAAGAATGAAGAGAAGCAAAGGAAAGGGTCAATTCGATTCAAGCAAGTTTGTCAGTTCGAGAGCTCAAGATCGATACAGTAATGCACCGCAATCGAGAAAGTTGATTCTTGAGCAGTGTTTTAAAAGTCTAGGAAGAGTTGCTGAAGATTTAATTGTTCACCGATAGTGGGAGTGGTTCTATTGTTTTTCTGCTATTGCAGTAATTTTTGTTGTGCGGGAGTTCTATGTGAGTCTTTCCGAAGCTGAAGAAGAAGGAGTCATGGTGAGGAGAAAGACAATGCCTTTTTCACCTGAGGTAATAAATTAATTTTATCATTTGACCCCAAGCACTTTGTGTTTCTATTCAAATTTTAGTCCTATTGAGGTGGAGCTAGATGGGATTATTTCATCTCTGACTGCTAGAAGAGAACTTTAGAAAATTACAAATGAAAGGAGAGTTAACTTTTCTACTTCGAAGTTGGATGTTACTACAAAGGCATGACATTATTTTATTTCTGCTCATCTGCTGCCTACAAATCATCTTAGTGAAGTGACCCATGATCGAGCAACTTTGAACTATTGCATCCAGCAGTTCAAGCCCATCGACATTGGAGCTTTGATTCATGAAGTTATTACTAGTTCTGCCATCGTACCGTCGTTGCTACTACTGTAGGTTTAGTATTTGTATCCTTGATCTTTTCTTTATGCCAGTAGGCTGGAGTTTGATTTGACACTTGGGAGGAGATCTTGCAGCCTCTTAAGCCCATTACCAGTTTGAATGTGAAATCTTATTCACATCATTCCATTTTTGGCTGGAGAGGAGGATTTTATAGTAGTTCTGTTGCTTCAATATCGAGAGCTTCTACTTCACGTGCTTCTACATCTCAGAGTCAGACTTCTGGATCTGATTCTCAGTCGCAGCTATTACAGAAGATTTTGCACAATGTCAACTGCACTTCAGATAAGGTATTAAATTTAGAAAATTTTGTAGAGCATATGGATGGATACATGAAGAGACATAGTGATTATGAGGGTGAATATAACTTAGATATGGAAAACCTCATGAGAGGCAATCAGGATGTTGTATTTCCTCAATACCCGAGATATCCACCATATGAGTCTGCAACTACTTGACATAGTGATAAGAGTGATGCAGAGGATAAGGATGATTAGCTTGGATCTATAGTTTTGTTTGATTTTTAGTTTATGTGTTATTGTGAGCTGTTGATGGTGCAATTATTCTGTAATTTTTGTTGTATTCAGTTGCTATTGTTGAGACTGTTAGTTTTTGTTGTGCTTTGTTGAGTAGACACCACTGTGATGTATTTACATTTTTGTGAGTAGTTATTATATTTGGTGGTAGTAATTGTGCTAACTGTGTTGTACATTTTACGTCAAAACTCTCTACCAATTTTTTATTAGACATTAATCCTCAAGCTTCTTTTCCCTATTTCAACTAAACCCCTAGCAGAGCACTATCAGAGACTGGTAAGATTATCTTAAAATTCATAACCTTATAAAATTATGTAATTATGTAACTCCAATATTTATCTAATTATGTATGCACACTAAGGAGCTTGATGGAGAGCCATCAACGACAGAGTTTAATGTCCTTACACATTGGTGTGTGGGCACACAACAGTGGGTATCCGACCACTCACGACATGTCAAGATAAGTTTAAAAAGTTCAATTTTCTAACTTTCTGGGAAGCTATTTGTATGCCAATTGTTTTTTAAAATGCCAATTAATGTTTGAATATTATTTGCAGAAGGATTACGAGCAGCTCTCGGATAGATAGAGGGAGGAGGTTAGAGAGACCTCAACTTCTGCTAGCAACAGTGGAAACCAGTCTACCACTACTCAGTCAAATTTTGAGTTGTGAATGCAGGCGATAGGGAAGAAGAAGGGGATAGTATGCAATCTCGAAGCAAAGTGGATGGATTTTGAGGTCGAGCATTCCTGAGCAACTGTGGGTGTCCCTAGTTCGTTATAGGCTCAGCATGAGGAGCTTGACAGGCGAGTCATGATGATGAATGAGGAGCTCCGACAGGTGGGTGAAGGTCAGCAGATGGTTGCAAATAGTCTAGCACGTCTGATAGAGAGTTTTGATCGTCAGAGCAAACAACTTATGTGTTGTCGAGGAGGAAGAGGAGGAGGAGGAGGAGGAGGAGCATGATAATAATGAGGAAGATTAATATTTTTATTATATGTTTGATGATGTTCTCCTGGTAGAGGAGCTGATTATATGTTTTTATTATTTCTAAGCAATCAAACTTCCAGTTTCTGTAGTTCTGAACATTGAATACTGTGATCGGTCTATCTTTAATTTAATTTGGTATCATTTTCTAGGTATATTAGAGCTTTCTTTTATCAGTTCTGATGATATATAAATGTCTTGTTATGTTGTTTGTGTTTGCTCTGTGCGCGTATGTGAAAATCTAGTCATCTTGCTATATTTTTTTTTTGTTTGTTACAGGTTTGCGTCGGATTAGCGTTGAAATATTCCAACGCTAAGTACTGCAAAAATCCATTTGATACAGTATGGCGCAAATTCGATGCACTTGCGTCGAACAATGCCGACGCTACTTAGCATCGACCATGGGCCATGCTTGACGCAAAAGCGTCGTTACTTCTACGTGGCCCGATTTTTCAATGCAAACTTTTAATGCCAGAATTTCTCAACGCAAATACAAACGCAAATAAAAATCTGACGCAAATAATGACGTAAAATGATTTAGCAATGCCTGTTTTAACGTCAAAATTCTTTCAACACTATTCCGACGCTAATGGGCATTAACATCAGAAAAATGCCCAATTATCGTCCAAAAATTCCGACGCAAATTTGGCATTTTCCAGTAGTGACAATCACATTTCCCATCTACGACCTTTGTGGCTGACACTTTGTCATGTAGACACCAATTGTAGTCTTTGTGGCTAATTACTACTATCGTAGTTCCCAACTAAAATCTCTGTAGTCGACTGCTACTTTTGTAGCAATCAACCATAGTCTTTGTGACTAATTACTAATTGTGCAGTTTCCAACTACAATTTTTGTGCCTCACTATTGTTATTGTAGCATCCTGCTACACTCTTTGTGACTAACTTCCAATTACGTCCTATGTGGCAAATTACTGCTATTACAACCACCTACTATGACATTTGTGGTCAAATACTACCGTCACGAATTTTTAATTACAACCTTGGTGGTCGTCTATTGCTCTTACAACCACACACTACAGCCTTCATGATCAATTACATTTAATATATCACAACTATGGTTGTTATAACTACATTGTTATTGTAGATATGTGGTTATCAACTTTGTAACTTTATTTTCACTAATTCAGGAGAAAATTAGACATATGTAATTATAATTATATGGTGAAGTTCTTTGACTGTGCAAGACCCTATAATTTTTTTTTTCTTTAAGTTTTTTCCAAATAAAAAGACTTGGAGTCTCTTTCTTGCTACTTTTCTTTTATTTTTGTGTGTATTGAATCTTCATATAATGTTAACATAATAAATTATCACTCCACCGTCGCGACTTTTCTACCAAATATGAAAGATTTGGCTATTATAAATGTAAAAAATAAATTTATGATATATAAATACATTAGAAAATTTATCTGTTAGATATATAAATACATTAGAATTGGATGGTATTTAAACGCACTTTTTTTTTCATTTTTTATTGCAAAATGATATGTAAGTCTTTGAACATTAGTTTAATCATGAAGATAGACTAGATTTTATCATTATTTTTTTAGTAGATTTTATCATTATTTTTTTTAAAAAAATCATTAAGAAATATAAATCCGTTGTTCATTTTATATTATGAAAATAAAAGATGTAGCATAGCAAATTCACACCTCAAATACTAGATTTTATCATTATTTTTTTAAAAAAATCATTAAGAAATATAAATCTGTTGTTCATTTTATATTATGAAACTAAAAGATGTAGCATAGCAAATTCACACCTCAAATAGATTATATATATAATAATTAGGAGAATCAAGTTAAATTTTAGGTTATTAAATTTTACTTAATATGAATTTAAATATTATTTAGTTTATTTTAATATGTAGAAATAAAGGAACTTTTTTTTATTTCAATTTATTTTAATATATTGAATTATGAGTGGAAAAAAAAATTTATATGAATAATCATGACATCAAATATTATATAATTGAAGCGGGCGTGGTAATATATTAATGGATTTTTTTGAACTCCGAGCAGAATAGTATAAGATTATTCATTTATTTTTGGTGGCGTGTGAGAGCACTAAAATACATATTTTGCATTCTATACTATACTGAGGTTAGATATGTAATGATTATGGTGCATTAGGCCCTGCTGCATGGGAGCTTTTTTTCAGCTTCTGGACCCTAGCTTTCTACACCCTGTTTTGTCCCCGTCCTTTTTTGATCTTCCACCTATCAACTTCAGTCCCTCTCTCAAAAGATTTCCGTCCATCTCATCCGATCCTCTCCCCTCTCTTATATTAATATTATTTAATCCTAATTATTAAAATAATAAAACCCATAAATCAGGTATATATATTAATTATAATCTATTTTTTAATATAATTAGATTAATTTATGCAAATAAATAAAAATTGATAGTATTAAAATAATACTATGTACAATTTTTACCACACAATTCTCTTTTATTTACATATCTAATACTTAGAATTTCATTTATATGATTATAATATTTGCTGTTTAAAATTTATGCCGTTAAAATTAAAATGTTATTAATATATTTTTCATGCGATGTTAAAAAATTCAATTGATTAGATGTTAGATGTATAAATACATGATAATTGTGTGGTATGTTTGCAAATACTTCTTTTTAATATTTTAAATCCCAAATCCCCGGTTCTGAATCACTCCCCCACTACTTATACGCCCGACCAGTTCCTCTCTTTCACCACATTACTTTCCTTCCTTCCTTCCTTCCTTCCTTCCTTCTCTCTGATCTCCTGCTCTTCGTCTGTCTCTTCATGGAGCCAAACTGCCATAGCCAGCCGCAGGAAGAGAATGGCAACCCCGGCAAAAGCAGCAGCTTTCTCTGCAGACAGTCCAGCGCTCGCTGGATTCCCACAGGAGACCAGATAAGAATTTTGAGAGATCTTTACTACAACTATGGCGTCCGATCTCCCAGTGCCGAGCAAATCCAACGAATTTCTGCTAAGCTTCGACAGTATGGGAAGATCGAAGGAAAGAATGTCTTCTACTGGTTTCAGAACCATAAAGCTCGAGAGAGGCAGAAGAAGCGGCTGACTTCTGATATTGCCAGCTCTAACAATTCCAATGTTATAAACAGTAAATACTTTGTCCACACAATTGTCTTGTTCTTACATACCTAGCATATAGAAATATCACCCTAAGTACACCAAGGTGTTATAAGAATCAACATATAAATGCATTAGAATTGTGTGGAATGCTTTATTTTTATCAAATGATTAAAGTTTTGGGTCCTGTTTTGTAGAGCTTGGTTTGGGTTCTATGGGGCCTTATGATGCTGCGGACAAAAGCTTCAGAGTAAGCTTTGCATATAGCTTAAATATACATATGTATTTTGATATCATATATAGTTTTTTAGATGGCTTCTAATATAATGTTTGTATTAAATTGTTTGAAATGAAATGTATTTTTGATGTTATTTACATATTAAATTGTATTTATGTATGTTTTCAAATAAATTTAAATTCATGATATCAATCTGAATATGATAAGTCTACAATGATCAAATGCAGAGGAAGAAGATGAGAAATGTACAAAGCAATGTTTAGGTGTTAGATCTGTATATTTTAATTCCTATATATTTTAAAACTTACAATATTACTTAAATATGTCCAAATATTTAAATTCTATTATAATTTTTAGTGTAACAATTTGTTAATGCCATTATTATTAAACTGAATTTTATAAACGACATTAACCAGGGATGCTGCTTCTCCGGTTCAGGAGATGGGCCGGAAACGGGTCTAGGATGGTTTGGTGTGGAAACAGCCTTACAAGTAAGTCCATGGAATTACCACTGTGCCATTAACGGTCAAGAAACAGCCTCAGCTCGAACCCTAGAGACTCTTCCTCTGTTTCCCATCCGAGGAGAAGAAGAAGCAAACGGTGAACAAGAAATTCAAAATTCTTTCTATTGTGGCCAGAGCCAGGAAGAGAATTTTAACGGCTACCCACGTGGCGGAGCTTCATTGGAGCTCAGTCTCAACTCTTACTACTATGAGTCTCCCAGCTATATGTGATTAGGGTTTTGTTTTGTGATGAAGTTTATTGATAGTTTGTTGATGTTGAACTTTACGGTTTGGTTCACTATTTTGTGGTTATGTGGGTATACATTTAGTTCGCACCAAAGGAAATCTTTTTGTTATATATATATATATATATATATATATATATATATATATAGTCTCGAGTTATATGTCTCAAGTGTTATGTTATTATTAAAATATATGCGAAATTTCATTTTTTTTTGCACATGCTGCCTAACTTATGGATAAAAAGGTGTATTTTTCTCTTTAAAAATTAAAATAATGATATTTTTTATATGATTTAAAAGATTTGGGTGTTTTAATTAATGTCTAAAGTAAAATTTAGGTGTTACATGAGAATTGGATGATATGTATGTAAATGCCTCTATATTGTTATGGAAAAATAGTATTTAGTATTAGATTGGTAAATTCTTCATAAATTTTGCTATGGGAAGGTAGCTAAATGATATTTAGGGAGATTTACATATATTTCATATATAATTGCTGTATTTACATGTGCAACATCTGCATCTTAGGATTCACATTTCTAAGACCTAAAACTCTGGTTAGTCATTAAAGTATAACTATGCCTACTCTCGTAGACCGTCTCCTTCCTCACCTCTCTCATTCTAACGTTATTTGTCTTCTCCAGCAATTGATGTGGCTTGAAACCTCTGATCTATTAATGGTGCTATTTTCTTGCTTATTTATGAACAAAATTGAGTGTTTGAATTCAGTGCACCTCAATATATTTTTTTAATTTTATTTTTTTTATGGATGAAATCATCTTAGATGCTTTTATTGTTTATTTTTTAATCCTAATGTGATGTTGTTACTTCAATAATGTAGATTAAGCAGCAGCCAAAGAATTCATACAATTGCTCATTAGAGAATATTTAAAAGGAATGGCAAGAGGCTATTAGACGAGCCTCAACCGTCTCTAGGTGTGCTAAATATTTGAATACTTATACTACACATGGGAGGATTCGAACCAGTGACGCTGCCACGGAGCATATACTCTCAATTATTATAAATTATTGAAATTTTAAGAGAAGTTAAGAAATACAATTTAATAACAAATTCTGGGTGACCATTAATATAAAACCAATATTAACATCTACTTGTGATCATGAAGAGAAATGTGTCTCGTTAAGATTTGCCATCATGACCATATTGTGCATGATAAATACCACCATCAGCATCTACTTGCACAAAATGAACCATTCAAACCAACATACTCCTACGTTGTTGTTTATCACTGACAATCTCGCCATCATGTCAACCTTATTGAGACACATTTCTACTAATTCTGTTCATACAAAAATACGTAGGACATAAAACACTGGTAGTAAAGAGAATAAAAGGAACTCAATACGATAATAATAATAAAAAAAATCCTCCATCAATTACACAAATATAAGGGAAATTTTCCATGCATGCCACACAATTCATGTGTATTGACGTATTTAACAACTATACTTTCATATTTTCATTCACAGCACTTTAGAGTCATAAAGCTATGCATTAAAAAGGAATTTGTTCATTTTTTTAATCGTGAGTAACAGTGATATTTTTCATGCATTGTTAAAAGCTTGGATGTTTGCATGTAAATATGAAAATTTAGATGTTAGATTAAATGCATAAATAAGAATTGTGGACTATGTATGTACATGCTCCAAGATATAAATAATCTAAAGTTCACTTATAAGTGAGATTATGAAACATTTATTTCAATTAAAAAAACAATGATCTTATATATTATAAATTTAAGAAGAACACTTTATTTTATGATATGAATATGATAATTTATTGAAAGTACATTTTAGACTGACCGCGGGGTAAATGTGGATGGCGTGAGGGGGTGGATGAGATGCAGGGGGACGATGGGGGAAAATGGGGGCTACAAGATATGGTGGAGAATCGTGTTAGGTTCATTATTGGAAATAATGGCTAAGACAACACAAAAATGTGTTATGGCAATTGTAATAACCATTGTAAAATTACTTGTAGTGGATTTAACACCGCCGCACAATCACTGTGGTTGCTTTTTGCCAGTCTTTTGATGGTGATTTTGGACCTGCTGTCGCTTGTCGTCAGAAATCTTAAATTTGATTACTAAATATTCCTAGACTTAGAATTTCAATTTAAGTTATTAAAGGTTTTTATTAATATTTGTTATTCTATTTATTAAACTAAAGTATAGAAGTTATAAGCTAATCTCTATCCTAAGTCATATGCTTTTACGTAATAAAAGTGTCACTTGAGGACAAGTAAACATTTAAATTTGAGGGATTTTGATACACCAAAATAATATGATGTTTTAAGTACATATTTTATGTTTATTTTGGTGATATTACACTTTAAATAAGGGTATATCATGTTTTTGTTGTAGGTATATCATTTTTAGGCATTTGGAGCAAAAATGACAAAAATGACGAAATTTGGAGCCAAAATAACAAATCTTGGGATTCTGGCGCATGATGCGCTAGATCGGTGCATGATGCGCCGTTCGACAGAAAACTGGCGCATGATGCACAAGATCGGTGCATAATGCGTCAGGAACGACTTTTTCAAATTAAGGCGATTCGAGAAAAAAATTTAAGAAGAATTGTTGTCGCTTGTCATCAGAAATCTTAAATTTGATTACTAAATATTTTTAGACTTAGAATTTAAATTTAAGTTATTAAAGGTTTTTCTTAATATTTGTTATTCTATTTATTAAACTAAAGTATATGTCATAAGCTAATCTCTATCCTAAGTCATATGCTTTTATGTAATAAAAGTGTTACTTGAGGACTAAGTAAACATTTAAATTTGGGAGATTTTGATACACCAAAATAATATGCTGTTTTAAATACATATTTTATGCTTATTTTGGTGATATTACACTTTAAATAAGGGTATTTTCATGTTTTTATTGTAGGTATATCATTTTTAGGCATTTGGAGCAAAAATGACAAAAAAGATGAAATTTGGAGCCAAACAATGAATTTTATTAAATCGGGGCATGATGCACCATTTGACAGAGAACTGGCGCATGATGCTCCATTTGACAGAGAACTGACGCATGATGCGTCAAAGACGACTTTTTCAAATTAAGGTAATTCGAGAAAAAAATTTGCTCGAATTTTAAAAGAACACTTGTTTTACACACCTCTTAGAATAATTCAATGCATCTAAACACTTTGGAAGGTTCTTTTATAAAGGGATATGTCTCTTGGATCAAATGATACATCTTTTGAATTCAAAAGAGCTGACTTTTGGAGAGAATTCTGGAGGGAATTTTGAATTCTTTTTCAAAGGAGGCAGCCCAAAATAAAAGAAGAAGTCTTCTCATTAGTTAAGTGTGTGGCGTGAGGGAAGGAGAAAGTTGGCGTGAGTTAGAGATAGAGGGAGAAGAGAAGATTTTCTTCCAGGATTGTAAAACGAGAGAGAAGATGAGAGATTTCTTCTTCATTACTCTTCTAAAAGAGAATCAGGAGTGATTGTAAAGAGAGAAAGACTTGGAGAGAACTTTTAGGGATTTGCTTTGGAAAGATTGTGAGATAAGTGGTATTTTTATTTCTTTTATTTTATAAACTTGTTTTTATATATGAAATCCATGTTTTGTTATATTCTTCTCATGAATTTTGAGCTGTTTTCTTTATCATTCTCCCTATTTTGAGATATGATTTTGTGAAGAATAGATTTTGTTTTCTATGGTTTTAAATGTTAATAGTTTGTGATAATTTGAACCCCGATCTTCATTTACTTTTCCATCTGACCAATTAAAATAATAAAACTTGCCGAGAAACATATGTTCTGAAAAGGGATATGATTTCTACAATATAGGGAGAATCACATTTGATTTCATGGGAGAGTATGTCATCCATGGGATTGAGTGAAAATAAATAAATAAATATACTTTGTTAGATACAGAATTGAAGATTTTAAGGTGACAGATTAAAATCTCCAACTTGGTCCAGTTGATTGGAAACTAATGCGAGTTGTTAGCTCTCAGGTGAGGGAGTAGTTAGTCCTTGGGAGAGGAAGTTGTGGGAGTTCTAGAGTGGCAGCCAGTTTCTCTCATCTTAACCACGAAATTAGGGACCAAACTCTGGATTAGTCAGTGTTCTTTATAACACTCGGAAGAGGGTAAAGAATAGAATTGCTTCTATTTGGCACAAAATAGTATATATATATATATTTATATATATATATATATATTCAAACGATTTCAATTTCTTCACAATCCATATACTCATTGTAAAGGGGAATGATGCTTTCTTAAATTTGAACTTTTTGTCACAAGAAAAACTTTGTTTAATTTTTGTAATTTTATTTCTGCAAGTTTGATATTTAGTTTAGTTTAACTTCTGTAGTCTTACAACTGCATTTTAATTAGCATTCACTAAAGTAGTTAATTTTTAAACTTCACACTTTGCTTTTATTTTTGTATTTTAAATTATAAAATAATTTCAAAAACTTAAATGATTTTCCAACTTCCCTGTGGGATCGATATCTAGGACTCCATTAAAGCCCTTTATTACTTGAGCGATACGCATACTTGCGTTGATTTTATAGGAGATTTGGTAGTTTTAAAAGATAAATTATTTTCATCAAAAGTATTTTTGTTAGGATTATATTACATATTTATTATATATTTGTCGTGTGAAATTTTGTAATATTGAAAATTTTTTGCAAAATTCTCACACTAAATTCTACCGCATCAATAATGTATTTCTTTGTTTCTTCCACGGTTGTTGTGGCTTCTTTTGTGGTTCATGCCTTCTTAGGTTGTGACCTCTTAGACCTATGTCTTATAGGAGCTTGAACCGGTACCTTCTAAGGCTCGTAGTCTTCTGAGATTTTTTTAGTGAAGACCCTCTTGTGTTCGTCTTCTAGCAGCATGGTCGAAAGGAGGATCCATTGAGGGTGTAAGACTAGTTCTGTGTTGTATAACTGGAGATGCTCGACGGAATTAACACGTAACAAAGTCATATGAAATCCACCGA